ATGAGGCTTCAAGATACGCAACAAATTTATGGTCCTTCGAGCCGGATATCGCCAGACGGTACGACCTACGGAGATATTCGGGCATCCACGCATACGCCATTAGCCTAAGACTCAGCGATCTCAGCCGGATCGACGAGATTCTCACACGCGAGACTCTACCAGCGGGAAGACGAAAACCATCGTCTTCCGAGCAACAGCAGCTCATTAGCATTCCGTTCTGCCGGCGAAGCAGAAGATCTCATCGAGGGGATAGATACATCTTTAGAAGTTCCTGCCATTTGCATCACCGAGGACCGGCGAGCTAGCGCGGGAAGGTTCCAGAGGCAGCTAGCGCGGGAAGGTTCCAGAGGCAGCTAGCGCGGGAAGGTTCTAGAGGCAGCCAGTGCGGGAAGGTTCCGGAAACATCCAGCGCGGGAAAATTCTCGAGTCAACCGTCACCGCCGCCATCTTAGCAGCGCGTCGGCATAGCGCGCCTCCTTGTTACCGACGAGTACTCGGCCACTGTCCGTTTACCCACAGGTAGGGAAAACTCACTTCGGTTTACCGCCAACCAGAAAAAGTGTTCATTCTTCGTCCGCATTCGCGTTATTAATAGCGAACATGGCCGATGAAACAGATCTCGCTAATTTAAAAAGACGTCGTAGGTCTCTTAAGGGATCATGTACGCGCGTAAAAACGTACGTGGATAGCATCGCGTCCGTCACGCCCACGGTAGCCGCGCAATTAGAGGAGCGTAAGAACAAGCTAGAACAGTTTTGGACTGAATATAACGATGTACAAACACAAATAGAAGAGTTAGATGAGGCCGAAGAGAACGATCGCGCGGGTTTCGAAGAAGCGTTCTTCGAATTATCAGCCAGAATTCGAGCCTTAACATTATCTGCGCCTACGTCGCTCGTTATCGATACACCGCTGCCGACGGTATCGGGCGCTTCCAATTCGCAGTACGTGTCTGACATTAAGCTGCCGAAACTAGAATTGCCTAAATTTTCAGGAAAATATGACGAGTGGTTCCCTTTTAGAGATGCGTTCCGCTCGGCCATACATGATTCGAATCTGCGCGATATCAGTAAATTGCGGTATTTGATGGGATCAACCACCGGTGAGGCGTATAACGTAATAAGCTCGCTAGAAATTGCAGACGAAAATTACTCGGTTGCGTGGGATTTATTGATAGAAAGATACGATAACAAACGTGTTATAGTACAGAATCACCTTAAAGCCATTGTGGAGTTGCCCGTTATGAACAAAGAAAATATATCCGAGTTGCGTCAAATCACGGACGGAGCATCTCGTCATATTCAAGCGTTAAAAGCGTTAAAGCGTCCTACACATAATTGGGACGATCTGTTGATTTATTTGCTTAGTTTTAAACTCGACGCGGTCACAAGCCGCGAATGGCGAAGGTCACTGGTCGGCGATGAACTACCCACATTTAAACAATTTTTAGATTTCTTGTCACACCAATGTCACATTATCGAGTCAACGCAGAAGCCGAGTAACGCCTCGGCAAAGAATGTGAATTCGCGATCACAAGTAAACGGTAAGCAGAAAACGTCGTGTAATACGGCCGTCAAGGCGAAATGCGTTTTTTGTAACGGCGAGCATCTTGTATACCAATGCAAAACATTTTTGGACTTAACTGTAGCTCAGCGCATAGAAAATATTCGATCTCGCAAGTTGTGTTTGAATTGTTTGCGTTCAACGGCTCATATCGCCAATAAGTGTCCGTCAGGGGGCTGCAAAACTTGCTCCCGCAAGCATAATACGTTACTACATATTCCAGGCGCCGCTACCAAGCAAACCAAGGCGATCGAAGGCCTGAAACAAGAGTCTAGCATTTCGAGCTCAACGGAATCAAACGGATCCAGTGTGGTAGTAACACATTCTTCGAGTTCAGCATCGAGTGCCAGCTCTCTTTTATCCACAGCAGTTGTGTTCGTTCAAAATAAGGACGGCTCGCAACGTTCTTGTCGAGTTCTTCTAGACTCCGGGTCGCAAGCCAACTTCATAACTAAAAACCTTTCAGTCGCTTTAGGGCTAGTCCCTCGTTCAATAGAAATCTCGGTGTCAGGTATAAGCGGAACGGTAACACAAGCCAAGCAAGCGGTCCAAATTAAATTAACTTCTAGAATAAGTGCCTTTTCATGGGTCCTGGATTGTATTGTTGTTGACCACATAACGGACGACCTTCCTGCGTTCACTGTCAAACGCCAATCATTTGATATTCCTCGCAACATCCCTCTAGCAGATCCTCAGTTTAACGTCTCCTCTGGCATCGACGTGTTGATTGGCACGGAAGTATTCTGGAGTCTTATATGTATAGGACAGATTAGGGCATCTGATAAACATCCAACGTTGCAGAAAACTAGATTAGGATGGATATTGGCAGGCAAGCTTAACAAATGTCCTTCGCGTTCTCTATGTGTTACTTCCCTACACGCTTCAGTTAGTAATGTCGAATTGAACGATCAGCTCACAAACTTTTGGAAGATGGAGGATTTTAGGGGAGGTTCTAAAACATACACT